GAAAATGGCGGATGGCGAGGTATACTGCCAGAAGTTCTTTCCCGAAGGTGCTGTAACGTGTCTCCGCTGGCCGCAACCGTTTCGAAAAGAAACCCAAAGGTTGCCAGGTATTGTCGCCAGCCTGCTGAAGAACAGCACCAACGGCCTCGTCTGAGGCATCAGTGACGAGCGAAATCGGAGCAGATGGTACGGGATGTGCTAAGAGAGCGGCATTAGCGATTGCGTCTTTAAGGTTTGAGAAGGCTAATCGCGCGGACTTGGTAAAAACAAATGAACGTTGATTGCCCCGAAGCAAGTCAGTTAATGGCTGCATTATCCTAGCACAACACGGAATAAAGCGTCTATAGTAGTTAACTATCCAAAGGAAACGTTTAAGCTGTTTAAACGGTGTAGGTTCAGGGAAATCTTTGATGGCGGTTACCTTCTGGGACAGTGGTTCAATACCTGTAGCTGAGATGCGGTGACCTAGGAACTCGATCGACGATTTTCCTAGTTCGCACTTGCTAGGGTTCAAGGTAACGCCTCGATCAGATAGGCGTTGGAATAGAGTACGCAGATGCTCTAAGTGTTGCGACTTAGAGGCGCTAGCTACTAGGATGTCATCTACGTAAGGATATATGAAGTCCAGACCACGAGTAACGTCATGGATGAACCGCTGAAATGTTTGAGCAGTGTTCCTTAACCCGAAAGGCATTCGAAGGAACTCGAATAAACCAAAAGGTGTTATAACTGCAGTTTTGGGAATATCGCAGTCCTCTACAGGAATCTGGTGATATGTTCGCGTCAGGTCTATCTTACTAAACACTGACTTACCACCGAGACTATTTGTAAGGTCCTGGATGTGCGGTATAGGGTACCTACCTGCAACTGTGCACTTGTTCAGCGCCCAGTAGTCTCCGCAGGGCCGCCAGTCACCGCCTTTCTTGGGCACCATGTGGAGAGGTGAGGCCCACTGACTTTCGGAAGGATGGATGATACCAATTTTGAGCATGTGCTCGAATTCCGCTTTAGCTGCTTTTAGCTTATCAGGGGCGAGACGTCGTGGCCGTGCAGAAACCGGTGGGCCACGGGTTCGTATATGGTGCGTAACGCTTGATGCGACCGGAAGCGTAGCGTCCGCTGAGTGGACCAGCTGCGGAAACTGTCTGAACAGATCTAAAAATTCCTTATCAGCTTCAGGCTGAATGTAAATGGGAGTGACAGAAACGCAAGATGTGCGAACTCCACATGTGAAAAGCTGGGTCTTTTGGTCAACGAGTTTGCGATGACGCGCATCGACGAGAAGATCGAAGTGTTGGAGGAAGTCGATACCCAATATAGCAAACGGAACGGCAGCGATGGTGAAAATCCATCGAAAGGGACGTCGTAGTCCGAGGTCAATGGTAAGGGAGCGTTGACCGAAGACTCGAATAGCAGTGCCGTTAGCGGCACGCAAGTTGGTTGTCTGTGACTTAGTCGCGTCGCCTGGAACCGGTGGGATCACGCTAACTTCCGCCCCGGTATCAACCAGGAACATGATCCCGGTGTTCCTATCAACGATTTTGAAGAGGCGATTTGGACGACTTCGGCCGACGGCGTGCGTCGCCAATACGTGTCGGCCTGTCCTTTTTCTAGTTACGGGAAATTCACATGGTTTTATACAATTTCTAGCGGAACTTCCAAAACGTGCGTGATAACGGCAAATTGGGCGTCGTGTTCGTCTTCGAGATGGGCTAGGGGAACGGGATGGAGAATCCCGTGCGTGCCGATGTAACTTTAAGTTTTGAACTTCTTGCCGTAGCGCGGCTATCTCTGCTAAGAGCTCACCAGTCGAAAGTGGAGTAGCGGTGTCGATGGTTTGGACCGAAGGATCAACAGTGAGATCTACGTCAGGTGAGCGAAGAGAACTAGACGATGTAGCAGTCTGGAGATTCCCCGGTTTGCTTGTGTAAAATTCTAACCAAAATTCTATAATTGTACACTTAGGCAACCGGTGTGGTTTGTTGAACTGCTTGCTGAGTTCGAATGCATTACTTGCTCATCGCCATTTTTGCTTGGCGCTCGCTTCGGTTGCAACGCGCGACTGCTCTGTGTGCTGTGCTTGATCTGTTCCCCTAGCTAGAGCGTCCACGGTGTCGTTCATTTATAGCTAGCTAACAGGGAATCTTTTGCTGAACCAATAAAAGTTTCCCTGCAACTCGATCCGTCTTCTGGAATCGCTCTCTGGGCTCCCGGAATAGGCAACCCTCTAAATTGGTGACCCCGAATCCGGATCAACCTCAGCGCCGGATATTTGGAACTTTTCTCTGGTGAGCTCGTTCCATTTATTTTTCATATTTTCCGGTTTTATTTTTGCATACGGTAGCCTATTTTTTGCGTCATTTTTTCAAGCCATGGAATCTGTAGACCATAAGGTAGAGTCTATACTTAGTGTTGTATCTCTCTCTGTTCCACCTTTTTGGGACATGGATCCTGTTTTGTGGTTCGCTCTTCTTGAGGCTGAGTTTTATAACCACAGAATCACTTCCGACTACGCGAAGTATTGCAAGCTCCTGTCCTATCTCCCCAAGGAGATATCAATGCAGGTTCGTGACGTCATCATTTCTCAGACCGAAAACCGCTATGAGGCTCTCAAAGAGGCCACGATTAAGCGTGTTATGCCCTCTGAGAAAGTTCGCCTGCAACAGCTTTTCAGGGATCTGCAGCTGGGCGACAAACTGCCCTCAACCCTGCTACGAGAGATGCAGCAACTCCTTGGTTCTTCAACCATGGATGAGACTTTACTTCGCGAACTATGGCTACAACGGCTACCGGAAAACACACAAGCGATTCTCGCTACAGTGAGCTCCGTTCCGCTCACTCAACTAGCAGACTTAGCGGATCGAGTTATTGAACGATCACAGCCACAGGCCAACGCCAGCAAGGTCCATGCCGTCGCGTCCCAGGGCACTTCTATCACTGGCTTACAGTCAACCATAGAAGCCCTGCAAACACAAGTCGCGACACTTAGTCGCCAGGTCCAGCAGCTTACTATGGACCGTCGTCGTCATGGCCGCTCAAAATCGCCCTGCAAACGTTCTCAGTCTAGCAACAGGCAAGCTAGCTGTTGGTACCATCAGCGTTTTGGTACCGCAGCTCGTAAATGTGTAAAGCCCTGCAACTTCGACGAGAAGCAGGGAAAACTTCGCGGCCGGTCCGTAACGGCGACGGACGCGACTGGCCAACACCAAAGTCGCCTCATCCGCGTTAGGGATTTAACTTCCGGCACCGAGTTTCTAGTAGACACTGGTGCCGAAGTTAGCGTTATACCCCGTAGCTCAGATGAGGTCGTCTCACCATCGCCGACCAAGCTGCGTGCCGCCAATGGCACACCAATCGCAACTTTCGGCGAAAAGCTGCTAACGCTCAATTTAGGCCTCCGGCGAACTTTTCGCTGGCCTTTCATAATCGCTGCTGTGCCTTTCGCCATCATAGGCATAGACTTTCTTCAACGCTTCGACCTCATCGTCGACGCCAAAAGGAAGAAGCTTATCGACTCTAGGACACAGCTCAGTGTTATCGGGACTAGCGCCAACGTGGCTGCTATCACTCCCATTCGTGTCCTACCTCAAGCTTCACAGCCTTTTCTAGAACTTTTCAGCAGGCACCCTAAACTCGTTCGCGTCCTGAACGAGTTGCCTCCGGTGACGTCAAACGTCACGCATCACATTTGCACTAAGGGCCCACCTGTTTCGGCCCGCCCTCGCCGACTAGCCCCGGACAAGCTCAAAGCTGCGAAGGCGGAATTCGAGCAAATGCTCGAACTGGGAATCATCCGCCCGTCTAAAAGTCCATGGGCATCACCATTACACATGGTGCCGAAGAAGTCCGGTGACTGGCGCCCCTGTGGTGACTACAGGGCACTTAACAAACTTACCGTCCCGGATAAATACCCTATCCCGCACATGCACGACTTGACCTCAGCTCTAGCTGGCAAGTCTATCTTCAGCAAAGTCGACTTAGTCCGTGCGTACCACCAGATACCTGTGGCGCCAGATGACATTGCTAAAACAGCAGTCATCACGCCATTTGGCTTATTCGAGTACCTCAGAATGCCTTTCGGCCTCAGCAACGCTGCTCAAACTTTTCAGCGTTTCATTCATGAGGTAACGCGAGGACTCGAAGGCGTTTATCCTTATCTAGATGACATACTCATCGCCAGCTCTTCTGACGAGGAGCATCTTCGTCACCTCGACGCTCTCTTCCAGCGCTTAACACAGCATGGGGTTACCGTCAACCCCGATAAATGCGAGCTTGGCCAAAGCTCCATCGACTTTCTTGGCCACCGCATATCTGCCTCTGGTATCGAAGCCCTGCCAGACAAAATCCAGGCACTGAAGGACTATCCTGCTCCCAGTTCCTTCAAGCAGTTACGCCGATTCCTTGGCCTGGTCAACTATTACAGACGCTTTATACCTAACTGCGCGAGCATTGTTCAACCAATGACTGACTTGCTCCGCGGTAAACAACGGTCTTTTCACTTTACAGACGACGCTAAATTGTCTTTCGAGAAGCTCAAAGACGCTATCTCCAACATAGCGCTTCTCGCCCATCCAGACACGTCTGCATCACTCTCTCTGACAACTGACGCATCAGACACTGCCGTCGGTGCAGTTCTTCAACAACTCATCGACCGTCGATGGATACCTCTAGGTTTCTTCTCAAAGCGCTTACAACCTGCCGAATCGCGATACAGCACCTTCGGTAGGGAACTGTTAGCTATCTACCTAGGTATCCGACATTTCCGTCACTACCTCGAAGGTCGACATTTCACCGTCTTCACCGACCACAAGCCATTGATCTACGCAATCAATGGCGCAACAGACAAGTACTCGCCGCGGGAAACTAGACACCTAGACTACGTTTCTCAGTTTACGACAGACGTACGTCATGTCTCAGGTGCTCTCAATCCCGTCGCGGATGCGCTTTCACGCATTCAGCAGATCAGCTTATCGCCTGGCACAAACATTGATCTAGCCGCCATGGCTGCTGCCCAACAAGCTGATCCCGACATAAGCAAGCCACGACGCAACACCACTGAGACGATCACCATTGATCGACTCAAGCCAGCATTCTTCGACAAGTCTGACTCGCCGGTGCAACAAGCACCTTCACAGCCTGTGCCATCACAGCTGGCACCGCAACCTCAGACGAGTCAGTCCGGTCCAGCAGATCCGACAACCCCAACCGACAGCACCCCTACTCTCAATCGACGCGGTAGGAAGCTCAAACCTAAGGTTCGTTTTTCGGACTTCGTTCGCACTTACTATTTTACATAGAACGTGCCTTTAAAATTTTCCGCTCTTACTAAACGTTTTTGAAAATCCACAAAAAAACCAAAACGTTTTGAAACTACCAAAAAAGAGCAAAACTTTTTGAAAACCCAAAAACAGCTTTGCACGTTTTTCGCTTTGCACTCCTTTGTGTATTGCTATGCATTTATGCTGCTTTTTCATTTGCTTTTCATATACACCCCGTCGGTTGGTTGCCCCTCGGTTTCACTTTCCGCTGGATCTCCGCACGTCAACTGGAAGTTCAACAATCTTCCTGCTCAACTGCCTACGTGAACTTTATTAACTGTCCCCCCCACAAACAGTTTTTTTACCGTTTCGACACCGTAGGGAGGACACGGGTGGGAGCCCGCTAGGGTCCGATTGCATGGTTCTCCCCCAGCAGCTGCATCGGGTTTCACAACCTGGTCTCGCAGAAGGCTGGCCCGCGACGGACAGTCCTCACGTAGATCGAAGGACTGCTTACACAGTCCCTTCTGGGAGAGGGCTATGTAGCAGTCTGGAGATTCCCCGGTTTGCTTGTGTAAAATTCTAACCAAAATTCTATAATTGTACACTTAGGCAACCGGTGTGGTTTGTTGAACTGCTTGCTGAGTTCGAATGCATTACTTGCTCATCGCCATTTTTGCTTGGCGCTCGCTTCGGTTGCAACGCGCGACTGCTCTGTGTGCTGTGCTTGATCTGTTCCCCTAGCTAGAGCGTCCACGGTGTCGTTCATTTATAGCTAGCTAACAGGGAATCTTTTGCTGAACCAATAAAAGTTTCCCTGCAAATTGATCCGTCTTCTGGAATCGCTCTCTGGGCTCCCGGAATAGGCAACCCTCTAAAACGACGGACACAGTGGTCCGGTGAAGCGATCCATCATATCATCAGCAATATCTGCAACTTCTGACAAAGGCTGCGATTTCGCAAGCGATAGCATAGCTTGTACGTTTTCAGGCAAACGCTGAAGCCATAACTCTCGAAGCAGCGACTCGTCCATATGCAGTCCTTGAAGAAGACCACGCATCTCTAGCAATAGCGCGGATGGCTTACTAGAACCTAGCTGTAGACCAGTAAAAAGTTTATGCAGGCGGGACTTCAATGAGGGAGTAACACGCCTTATTACTGCGTTCTTGAGAGAATTATAGCGGTCAGGAGGACAAGATGTAATGATAAGATCACGTAGTGCTAACGTAATATCAGTCGGCAGGCGTGTTAGCAGGTGATTAAACTTTGCAGAATCGCTAGTGACATGCTTAGAAGTAAACTCAGCTTCTAAAATCATGAACCACAAGACGGGATCTTTTTCAATAAATGGTGGAACTACCAGAGATACCGCTTGCAAAGACTGTGAGTCCTCACACTTTTTAGAAACTGAGGCCATGATTTGCGTGGAAAAAAACAAAAAATGGAACGAACTCACCAAAATGCGACTGGGGTCACCAATTATGTAGCGGCTCGACGAATGCTGCACAAGAAAACCGTAGCCCGGTGAGACAGAAGACGGCGGGATATAAAGATTGTCTTGAGAAAATAGCTATGTACAATAGCTATGTGAATATAGCTTGAGGACAATGGGAGAGAGTGGTGAAGCAATGAGTAACACCACGCAGGAACGCAACACCCGGCAACGCGCGGACAAGATGGCGAACACGGTTCAAAATTGCAGTCCAATATATATAGGCTTGGGATGGGTGCAAAGTCAAACAAAATGTGCACAAGTCTGAGTGTGATGTTTGATGGGGTAAAATGTCATGGTCACTACAGTTTTGTTTGAAAGAACCAGCACAGCGACTAGGGGATCAAAAAGTATGTTGCAAGCAGCAGATGACGCAAAAAGCAAGCCGACTCAAAAGCGGAGACGACTACAATGGTTACAAAATGATCCAAATGCAAAAATTAATGAACGCCTTCGGGTTCAAATGGTACGCTGGCATCCTCGTTTCGAAAATGAAAACAGAGACGTAAACGGAGCTTGCAGAGGTCTTTAGCGTGGGCGTGGCACGATCTTTTCCTTCCCGCTAATTTCAGGCATTGAGTGAGATTTGAGCGGCTAGCAACTACAAGCCGGCGTCAAAGAAATGGAACCATACCAGCAATATGGAGAACCCGTAGAGCCGAAGTATTTTACACCGGCTGAAAGTCAGGCTCAGCAGTTTGAGTGGCCACGACCCCTAAAACTAGTGTGTTTTGTTTACTAAGAAAAATAGTTGATCTATCCTGTAGATATACACTCCTTCTATCGACTTCTGGAGTTTTGTGTTCCTTCGGTTGGCTAATCCTGTGACTGAGCAGTCAGACAGTCTCTGTCTCACAGGGCAGCAAAGCAACAGTAAAACAGGTTGGCAGTCCGGAGAGCTGGCCGGACTACAAAACGTGCCGCCCTAAAAAGTGGAGGACAGGACACTACCTTTGCTGCAGACCCGACAGAGCGCTTGGGAAGTGGCAATACTCTCACCATGCCCTAGTCCGCGATTCAAGTCTTTCGTGTTACACGAAGATACTCGGGCAGCCTTTTCGAAACCATTTGATTAGGATCTTGGTGATTCATCCTGTTGTGGCTGTCCGCGGTCAAGAGCGCCTGGCCGCTGTACAGCTTTTACTTATTTACTCCCACTATGGTGTGATGAAGGTTTTATAGACCCGCGTGTTATAGCTCTCCAGGCCGCGGCAAAAGCGGGTTTAAATGTGATAATTCTAAAATGCGATTGTGGACTACGTTTTGTTTAACTGGTTAGTTCGGTTTCCTTAACGTGGTTTATGTTTTTAGTGACCCCCGCTTATTTTCCTATGTTGTCATTTTACCCGTACTTTATGCTTTCTAGGACGCGCAGATCCATGTCAGGATCAAGAAATCAGCTAAGCCGCTTGAAAGCTAGGTTCAGGTAAACACTTATTTTGGAGCGGCCTCCGGTAGGCGTCACCGAAGCAGCAAATAACTGACCAATTTGGCCGACCAAAGATACTCCCAGAAACTTCCACACGCGGTCAAGCTCTTAACCGCTATTGGAGTAAATGTTATTATATGTAAAAACGACATTACAATTATTTATATTTCGGCTTGCTTGGGAAGGATATATGTAGTTAAAAATTCCGCTTACAGAACCATAATTCTGCGTGATTGCAATGTAACTCCTTAAGCGCGTAGTGATTGATGTTGCCCTTATCCTTAAACGTATTATAGTGTTTACGAAGTTTTCTTTTAATTTTAGGGTGAGCAGGTCAGTAAGTTTTCCATTAAATGTTGTTCGCTTTCGTTCTACTGTGCTGTTTGATTGCATAGTGGAGGTTTCCTTTGTATTTGGGTTACGTAATGGGTGGTGGTCCACTAGTCTGTATTTAAATTTGTGTAAGGAATAGCTGTTTATAAACTACTTAGTGAAACACATTTTCCTGACATTTAAAAGGTGGGTCAAAGCTGCAGACAAATACTTTATTCTGTCTACCAACAATGGTCTGCCTTTATTTCTTATGGGGGTTTTGTATATAAGGGATACATTTTCGGTTGCTGTCATATTTTATAAATGTTGGCTGTGGGGATGCAGCAGGTGTTTGTTGTGGTTTGCAGCCATATATATCCACAGCCGTTACTTTGGCGGCTTTTCACACAATAAAAATATCCCCTTTTACCGTGTATCATACATCGCAACGGAGCAATCCTTTACGATCAGACACCAACTTGCATTCTCATATTTTACAGCATATTGCATAATATTTATGGTATAAATTTCGTAATGTAACGTATATAGTCGGTTATTGCTGGAACTTGTACAAAACTCTCGTATTTTAATTGAATTTCACTATTTCCCGCTATGGTAGAGGACAAATATGCTACAAGCTGGAAAAACCAATTTATGCAGAAACTGGCGAAATGCATGCTTACGTCGTGTTATGCAGCCTGTCAACGTTTCAGGGCATTCAAACGTTAGAAATTTATAACGGGTATGCGCTTGCACATCCGCTAGAAGGACTCTCTGCATTTCAAAGTTATCCTTGCACCTTATTCTGGCTTAGGATGGAACATCAAGGCACACACTTGCACAACCTTGATTACCAGGTTTAGTGCACGTCCATTTTCATTCAGTTTGTTTTCCTAAGAGAGTAGCCAGCTGCCACGTTGCTTACGTAGGCTACATAACCTATAAAGGTTACCACAGAATAATCGATTACCATCGTTTACCTCCCGCTTGCGGCGGCTTAGCAGGATGTGTAGTGGTGAATTCCGGCATAAAATTGCTGATATACTTTGTCTTTAGCGGAACATGGGGGCAGAACGATATTTTGTTTAAATGTCTGCCGACCTCTGCTTTACCGCGCGCATTCCAATTATCGCAGGATAGAGTAATTCTGTAAAATGCAGACATGGGAGAACCGCAAGGATTGAGACGTAAGTTCTAGTACGTAACACGTAGGCTCTATAAGGAAGAAGCAATGTAACGGAAAAGGTAAAAGAAAAGTTATAGCCAACTGTTCTCTTCGGATTTTTATCCTTCTTTAATAATTGAGCAGGCATGTCTTTCTGTAAGGCAGACGGAAAAGAAGGCGCCGTCAGTGCGACAATTTAAATGCAACCACGCGCCAAACTAGTTTCGATTACTCGTTACACCGCACCCATTCTATGTAGGCAACGTCCCAGTTGCCACGCCAAAGCCACCTTGAGCTGGTATTTCAACTTCGGTGGCTACTTCTGTCGGTGGCTCAATGTGGTGCTCCTCACCCGAATGCTCCGGCTCGATATGGAAACGTCTAAGCCGATTAAAGTGTACGACCATGTGCTGCACCACGGCGCACTTTGGGTCCCTAATCACGCAAGTTAGATAAGATATTATTCGGTCTACCACGTAGGGGCCTGCCCACTCACAATGCAGCTTTGCTGGTATTCCGGATACCGGTGCCTGATGCAAATATACGAGGTCACCTGCTTTCAACGGAACACCTAGGACCATCTTGTCGTAGTATTCCTTCTGTCGCCGTTGAGTGTTTGGCAAGTGAATGCGTGCCGTTTCGCGTGTGCGTCGAACGGAGTCAAGGAGCTTACTGACGTATTCTGTGACCGACGGGTACATCTGTTTGATTTCGGTAGTCGGACATCCGTGGGCAACCAAACTTCTATTCCTGTCCACATAAGCGAATGCGTTTGCCCGGTGGAAGAGTGGACCTTACTGCGATAAGCCAATAAGCATTTAGGCAACAGCGTGTCCCACTCCTAAATGTTCGGGTCCACGAACGCCTTCAGGAGTGCCTTCCACGACCGCTTCGTACGTTCAACCTGTCCGTTCCCTTATGGATGGTAAGCCGTTGTTCGCGTTTTATCGATAACAAGTGCTCTGCACATCTCCTGGACCAATGAGCTTAAGAAACATGATCCCTATCGGAATGCAGTTTTCCAAGCACCATCCATTGGCAAACCCAGTGGTTAGTCATCGTTGTTGCCACAGTGACAGTATCGGCCTGTGCGATTGGCGCGGCTTCGCACCATTTGGTGAAGTAGTCAACCATGACTAGGATGTAGCGGCTCCCTCTCGGCCTTTCCGGAAGTGAACCACCGAGGTCTACTCCAACTATTTCGTTCGGATAACCCGCGGTCATTGGTTGTAATGGTGTCCTATGAGCAATAGGCGGATTTTTGAACGTCGCGCATCTTTTGCAAGTTTGACAGAAGTTGCCAAGGTCTCTGCTTTGGTGCGACCACCAAAATCCTTGACGCGCCGCCGATACGAGTTTATTGATTCAAGCGTGTCCCAGCTGTTGGTGCAGTTCCGACAGCACTTCGGTAACTAACGCCTTTGGAACAACGGTCCTCCCAGGTACGTGGGGCTGAAATACAAGACCAACACCCCCGCTTCGATGGGGAGTTTATCCCACATCGCCTACAAGCATCGAGCTTTGTAGCTTTTCCCTTCCATTTGGTTCGGAGCTGGTTTGTCCCTTCCCGAGCGCCGCTCGTGGTAGATGAGTGATATATCTGGGTCCGAAGCTTGTGCTTCTTGCCAACGACCATACGCGGCGTTTTTAGTTTGACTAGCGCTACGTGCTGCGTAAGGCAGGAAGGACAGTTTCCGTGATCTCGAGACGGAATCCTCGATAGCGCGTCCGCGGTACCGTGTATTTTCCCAGGCCGATGGTGACATTCCAAATTATACTCCTGTAGCTGCTCTTGCCATCGAGCAATCTGCCCCTCGGGGTTCCTGAAATTCTGCAATCAGCTGAGTGATTGGTGATCAGCCTGTGCTAAAAATTTTCTTCCTACAAGGTAGTGCCGATTTCGTTTTATGGAAAAGACCAACGCCAACATTTCTTTCCTTGTCATACAGTAACTGCGTTCTCTTGACGTAAGGCTTCTACTACTGTATGAAACCACTCTCTCTATGCCATCCCGCCCTT